TGTGTGTGGATATTTTTTTTCTTTCTTTTCAATAGCATATATACCAATCCATACTGATCTTCTCCCCCTGCCATCTCGTCTGGTCTTGCCTTGTCATCCCTCTGTTCATCTGAAGCAGCAGATATTTATTATTTACCTGTATCTTTGTGTTAGGAAACATGAAGTGTAACTTTTTTTTCCTCTGATTTTCTATAGGCAGCATCAGTCACAAGCCTGTGCTGTCCGGATGCTGAAGACCACATGCTCAAAATGTAGTGAAGTCTTGGCAAGCCCCCGTATGGATGATGCCCCCAAAGAATATTCACCCAAGATTCAGCAGCTAGTTCAGGACATTGCTAGTCTGACTTTGCTGGAGATCTCTGACCTCAACGAGTTGCTAAAGGTGCCATTTTTACATTGGAAGCTGAGTGATTAATAAATCAGAGAGATAAAGGGGTGGTAGATGCTTTCTGCTGTTTGTAGCTTCTTTTTCCTTATAGAAATGGGATGTGGTACTTTGGGTTATAATCCTTGCTTCAGTATTGCAAGTGATGTAAAAGAAGGATAAATAGTTGTTTTCTTTGTTTGCAGAAAACTCTCAAGATCCAAGATATGGGACTTATGCCAATGGCTGGGATGATGCCAGCAATACAGTCAGCAGCAGCGGTAAGCAACCAGCCTTATATCTTGTCATTCACTTGAACCAAATGATGATTGCTTCTGGACGAGGATCTGAATGCACCTGGTCAACCAATGTACATTGTTCTTGAAGAGTTGGGTATGAAACTTCCAAGCATGCAGGCGAAAGGTGCAGCCAGACTGCTGTTCTGTATTTGGTATTTAAAAGAGCTGCTGCACGGTATAATGAAAATAGCAGCACTGCAGGTCTTTATAATGACCTGCAAATTGTAATAAACTCCTGCAAGGTTGGGATAGTACAGAGTGGGGAAAAAAAGATTTATAAGGAATGATCAGGAGTTAAAGTTAGCTACTTTTCCATGCAGCTATAGTTTTAGTTAGCTGAATAATTTTCAGTCCTGAGGCTGGTCCTAAGTTAAGCAGTATAAGAGAGATGTAGTGGGCTTAGTGGTCATTTTTTCAGCTGTCCCTTTTGATACCACTATGTCTGTATTGCTCACTTACTTGATAGTTTCCTACATATTCTTGTGTAATGTGATTTATTTCTGTAGTTAAGCTTTGCATCATTAAGTGTGGAACAGATATGATCTGTGTAGTGCCCCATTTATTCTGAGTTCTGCTTTCTGACTAAAAGATTGTAGGAATTTGACTGAATCAAATGAAAATATTTCTAAAGCTGTAAGAAATTCATCTTAAACTTCAAGATTAGCTACTCTCTTGCCAGTTTCACTTGTCTTTTACAAGTGGTTGCTTAATTTTACTCACAAGGAGTTTCCAAAACAATCTCCTTACAGCAGTCCTGGAAATCTGCCAGATTCAGTGCTTGTAGACAAGATACCTTTTGGGGGTTACTCCATTCTCCCACCTGCCTTGTTCCACCCTCTTCAAGGTTGCTGTCTGACCGTCTCTCTATTTACCAAACAGGAACGGGCACCAGCACCACTACTTTTCTTTCTTTTTCTTTTGCGTTAAATGTTTTGGCTTTTACTGGACTGGGATGATGATAAAAATCTTCATTTGATGATGAAGTAAAAATTTGGCTAAATGTTAATCTACCCAGGAAAATTGAACCTGGGTAAAACTATGGACCACAAAGATCTGCAGAAGACTGAGCATATATAAGAAGGAGCATGCACTAACTCTTATCTGAAATAATACATCAGCAATTTCTGAAAATACTCTAACCAGCTCCATAGAGAAGAAAGAAATAAGTGGCCCTTAAAGGCAAGGGGATTCTTCCAGAGAAAATAGCATGCAGGTCATCAGGTTCTCAAAAGGGAGAATATATGCTTGGAATGTCTGGGATAGGAGAGTGAAAAAACTATTTGTTTGAAATATCCATTCCCACTTAGAAATTCAGATGAATGAACTTGGTATGCTGTAAGAGAGCATCTGGGTTAAAATAAGTCACAGAAGAATAAACAGTGTTGTTGGAGTCAATACATTTAAACTAAAAATAAAAGAATCGGTATGCTAGCTGCTTAGTGAAGAAGGCAAAACGCTAACAGGTAACCAAGAAAAGATGAAGGTACTCAGCACTTATTTTGGCTCTTTTGTCAATGAAAAGCTATGTATGCCACCAGGAAACCAAAGGGCAGGCTGAAGGGACAGGACTGGATTGTAGGAACTTGGCTGTTAACTTTGAATGTGTTTAAATCTCTACAATCAGATGAATTCCATCCTAGGGTATTGACAAACTAGCTGATGGTCTGGCTGAACATTTATATACAATCTTTAAAAAACCTGGAGAGTGGGCCAAATGACTGGAAGAGAACAAATATTTTCCTTATATTGAAAAAAGATGATCAGGCAAGCCATGGACCAGCTAGTCTGATAATAATATTTGGGAAGATACATTTTTATTGGGTAACTTCTTTGATAGCATAATGGTATGTAGGAATGACTTTGGGAGACATGTACTTTCAGACTTGCAGAATTGATGTCAGCCTTGCAAGGTAATCCAGACAGGAAGCATGTCCAGATGAACTAATTCTGCTTCATTGGAGATAAGGAGGCAGGCTCTACCTACAGATTGTCAGTTTGTTACATTAACAGAAATGAGCCAGTTTGGCGTAGTAGTTAAGGCAACAGGCTAGAAACCAGGAGACTGAGAGTTCTAGTCCCACCTTAGGCACGAACCCAGCTGGGTGACCTTGGGCCAGCCACTCCTCTGGGCTCTAGGAAGAAAGCAGTGGCAAACCACTTCTGAAAATCTTGCCAAGAAAACTGCAGGGACTAGTCTGGGCAGTTGCCAGGAGTCAAAAACTGACTCGAAGGCACCCCCCCCAAATTAACAGAATCTTGCAGATCTGAAAGTAATTTTCCCCCCATCACCTTTACATCCCAAGAAATTAGGGAGGGTCCCTTCTGAGACGTTTGCCATGCCCAGATTCCTTCTGCGGGCTAAGCTGCCTCTTATCTGACCGTCCCCTTGGCAGTGGCTCTTCCCCCTGTTTCCCAAGGTCATTCCCATATACCATTACAGATAGATTGTGAGAATACTGTAGATATAATATACTATCACTTCAACTATTTTTATTAAATAAGTTGGAATTTTCAGTTGATACAAAATTGGGACAGATAGCTAACACCCTAGAAGACAGAAAATAAAATGGCGCTTTATGATTCTGTAATCATTAAGAAGATATTGTTGGATCTAGTCTAGTACCCTGTTTTCTGTAATGGACAACTAAACAATTCTGGGAAGTCCACATGTAGGATATGAAAATAGTAGCCATCCATTTCCTGTTTATCCCTTTAGTGCCATTGTCAGCTGATAATGACAAACACTGTTGTTGCAGTTTAGTGCAAGCTTTGTGCCCCTTCCACCTGTCTAAATAAACCAAATAAAGTGCCCAAATCGTTGGATCATTCCTTGACTACTGTGTCCTTGGAGACAAGGGGGCAGGCTGTACCTACAGATTGTCAATTTGTTTCTTCATCTACTAGGCAGAAGAAGAAGAAGTTGTTGAAAAAGTAGAAAAGCTCAATTTCACAGTGCGGTTGACTGGGTTTAAAGCTGAAGACAAAGTGAAAGTTATCAAGGAAGTCAAGAACCATATGGAGAACATAAACCTTGTCCAGGTAAACTGATGATTCTTTCCTATACTGGCTCAGCAGATTATACTATTAAGACCTGAGGGGAAAAATCTACTTGAAAAGCTTGCAGAATACCCAGGTGCTTAGAACTGTGTGAGTGTCAGTTCCTTGTACAGTAACTCTTGATTTAATAAAAATATTTATGCTGCCTTTTGAAGCATAAGGAGCCTAAAGTGGTTTACAGTAATAAGAACACAGCTTTGTTAAAACCACTAGGAAAATAAAAATGGTGATCAGCAAAATTAATATTGGATGGAAATATGCTTATTGCCTGCTTAAAAAAACATCAGTGAAAGAGCCAGTTACATATCTCGGAAGCAGGTTCCACAGCTACGTGCTGCCACTAAAAATGCCACGTTATGCTACTGCTTCCTTTGATGACATAAAATAGTGGAAACTTCAATGATTATAGTAATTTCTGAGCAAGGTCTTGCAAGTAGAGGTTTTCCTTTAGATACTCTAGTCCCAAAATATATAGAGCTTTATAGATAGAGATCAACATCTTACACTGTGCCTGAGAATGAATAAGAAGCTAATCCCAGTGAAATAGGGTTAGTATAATATAGTCCATAAGAGGGATATCCTAAAACATTTTACTTCCCTTAATTGCCTTAGTTCATTTCTAAACTAGATTTCCATGGGAGTCCTATTGTAATTTTTTGATGTTGCCAGTTGAGAGCAGAAAGGGGATGTTTCAATGAAGGAGTGTGAAAAAAGATGATGTAGAATGAGTGAAAGTAAAATTAGGGTCCTCAGAGATAGTAGCAACTAGTGTGGGAAGGCCTGTCATGAATTATGAAACTCTTTGGCATCCATTGAGGAGGAGGGGCTAAAAAAAGGCTTGGTGGAAGAAAGGGCACAGCAATGCAAACCCACGCCCTTTGTATGTGAATGTGTACAAAGGCAGCAGGATTTGCATCGCAACATCACTTTCTCCTTGCCTTTTTGACCCTGCGTGCACCTCCACCCTTCCCCCATGCAAATAAAGCTGGTAAAGCTCCATGGATGATTTTTCCAAATCTTTCTTTGGAA